GTCACATTCTCTTACTACAACATATCTCGGCCTAAACTGGGCTGCCCTGAGGTAGGAAAACAGAAGCAATTAGAAGAGGACAGCTACAATGTCCCATGGCCACATCTGCCACTAATAACCATCACTTCCTGTGCCTTCCTCCTGCATTATGGGTAAAATCTTCCCCTCAGAAGGTCAACCCTTCATCTTGTGCCCTAGACTTTTGTGACAGGGCAAGGCGTGCAGTGCAGAGGTTCCGACATCTTGCACGCTTGCTGAGTCCGTTTCAGGTTTAGCTAAAATGTGATTTCCTTGATGGAGAATCTTATGGAAAATTGCCCAACTGTATTCTAGGAACCCAAGGTCAGGATGTCTTAGTTAACTAGCCTCAGCTTCTTTAAACTGTTTGCTTCTGCCTACTATCCCTGAAGTTGTTGTTCAAGATGCCACCATGTGCTTTTTGCCTGTACTCTGGACACTCGGGGCTACACCTAGGTCCAAGAACACTTGGGTGTAGCCCCATCTGACTAGAATAAAGGCTTTCAGTTGGCTATAAACTGTGACTGTGTGGTCTTCTCTGGTGGGTTACCTGCAACACTTTTCTTCTTAACAGCAACATTCAAGTACTTCTCTCTATATGTATTTTAATAATTTCTTAAATCACTTCCATCAGTAAATGAACATATATGAATATCTTCTACCTTTAAAACCACCACCCACCTAAAAGAAATTCTTTTTTAAAGCGTGAAGGCAGACAATCTTTTTTATTGATGTATCCCTACATTAGTATTTTCTATATGTGCATACCTATAACAGATTAATTTCTTAGTTAGGCAAAAAATGCATTGATGATAATAATAGAATTGTAAAATTATAACAACATGTTCTTTTAAATTTTATTTTATGTGTTTTAGTGTTGGTCAGGTCCCCCAGTACTGGAACTACAGACAGTTGTGAGCTGCCATGTGGGTGCTGGGAATTGAACCCAAGTCCTCTGGAAGAGCAGTCTGTGCTCTTAACCACTGAACTATCTCTCTAGCTCCATTATAAATTCTTTGAAAGACTGTGTTGTACCTAAAAAGTTTTTTCTTCTACTTTATTGTAATTTTTGAGACTGGAGGTAGCTGAACTATAGAGAGTACGGATGTGGATAAAGGGAACTGTAATTCCATGGTCACCAAACTGGACCAGATTAAAATTATTTCATCAAAGGATTATAAAGATCAAAAATAATGATCTTGTAGTGTTTCCTCCTATTCCTCCCTGCTCTACATAGTCTTTCAAGATAGCAGAATTATGTGTTAAGAAGTAAAAGAGAAAAGGGTCCCCCACTTGCTCACAGCCAAAGCCCTCCTGCCTTTGGTTTAACTTCTCTAGTTAGGACTGTGTGTACTTCCACTTCTGAGTGTTTATATTGTGTTCACCCCACCTAGTCTTCTGCCTGCTGAAGTCCTCTCTCCTAACCTTGTCTTCCCAGCTGTCCCTCTGCCTCACATGTTTACATGGCTACACCATTCAAATATCACTTTAAAATGGGAATGCCTCAGTGTACCTTATGTAACTGATAATTCATATCCCCAGCGATCTTATTCTCCACCCCGACCCCCGAGTATTTCTAACCATCTGTTATTAGTCAGTTTTCTTGTCACCATGATGAAATGACTAATAAACAATTTAAGGAAGGCAAGATTAATTTTGGCTCACAGTGCAAGGGTTTAAATTCACCATGGTGGCAAGGATATAGCATAGCAGTGTGGTCCCCATGTCAGAAAACAGAGGTGGAGAAGGAGGGAGGGAGGGAGATGGAGTAGATAAGAGAGAGACAGAGACAGACAGAGAGAAACTGTGGCTACACTCTTCATTTCTGTCCCTTCCTTTACGTAGTCAGGCTCTCCCACCTGTTGGATGGTGCAGGGTTTTTCCTAAGTCAATTCTGTCTAGTGTGCTTCTTTAATTCCCTAAGTGTTTTAAAAAGCCAATTGAATTGACAGCCAGTGGTCACATCACACCACCTGACATATTGGGGTGTCCCCTCACATAACTCTTCTCCCCCAACTGTAATCTAAGCCCCATAGGGTTTGGTTTGGTTTGTTCTTTCTTTGTATTCATCAGACTTTTGTGCCAGTGTGCCCAAATGCTGGAGAAAAACAACTTACATAAGAAAATCTTTATTTTTTTTTCTCAAGATGTCAGAGGCTCATCCCATCGTGGTTGGGGAGGGTGGTGGAGCCGAGCATCGATGTGGACAGGAAGCACAGAAAGGGCCGCCCTAGCTTTGTTTCTGACTTTGGGAGAAAATGCCTTGAGAACAGACAACAGAAGGGAGAAAGGGTTTGTTTTAGTGCACAGTTCAGGTCACAGTGCCTAGAGAAGCCAGTCACATCACCTCTGCACATCTAGAGTCAAGAGAAACAAGCAACAGGTGAGTATGTTCCCGGTTGCCACTCTGCTGGCTTTGTGCCTTTCATGCAGTCACTTTCAGGCTGGGTCTTCCCACATCATCCAGATACTCCCTCACAGATGTCCCTCCAGGCCTACCTGACCTACATCATCCATCCTTCACTGATACTCTTCTCAGGTGAATCTAGATTGTGTCACCTTGACCATTAAAGGTGACCATCACAGTGAGACACAGTCTAAGGGGCACACCCCCAGCAACAGCAACAAAAGAGTAAGTAATACAGTTATGAACCTGAACAGTGTTTCTAGGGTGTATTTGGAGCTTCAGGATTAGGTCTTACAATACTCATTACTGGCACTGTAAAGCCTTTGCTTTTGGAGAACTTATACTCATTAAGAAAATGAGTAAGTCCTTGAGAGTGTGAAATATTGTTTTAATAAGCCATTTTGTAGATATTGCCTTGAGCACATTTATTTACAGACAACATGGCAATAATGGTGGTTGTAACTCCATGTGGTTGTCCCATTGCCTCCTGAGCATTGGCCCACTTAAGCTCCAACCCTATTACAAATAGCTGCTACACAAGCAAGGAGACTGAAGTCAGCAGGAGAGTGACCCATAGCATTCCCTTCCAGTCTACACTGCCTTGCTTCTCTAGGAACAATGAACAATCTGCACAGTGATAATCCACTAACACTCATTTGCCCATCAGAAAGTTGCATCAAACTCCTGAGGCTTACTTACATTACTGAACACCACTGTGTCCCTTTACAAGGAATCCTTAAGTTTAAGACTCAGTCACCTGAGGTCTTTTCCTGCCCCCAACCTGTTTCCTGAGCTCCTATTCTAATAGGGATGATCTCTTTTTATTGCTAAATCTTGATGTAAGTGATAGGTGCTGCCAGAACATAGTCCAAGAATGGAGTTGTGTCAGGGGAGTTCTCAGTGCTCGGCAGAAAACTGCAAGAAAACTCTGGTGACCTCAGTTTTTTCAAAGAAGTAGAATTGTCCTTGGAATGTGTTTTCGTGCTTCCCAAGTGTGTAGCAGAGGAGAGAATTTACTCCAGCTGTTGTTGTTCATCTGCCTCTATGAAAAACACAGCTTTTGCTACATTCAGCTTGCCCTTGTGACTGTACACTTCACTCAGGTGAAGTGTACTTCAATACTTCTTAACCCTAAGAGTATAAATTGATGTGTACTTCAATACTTCTTTAAACCTCAGAGTATAAATTGTCTGATGCTCTGAATAAAGTTGGCCATTGCATGAGGCTTTGGTCTGCCTAGTTTTTTGGCCAGTTTCTCCCGGGTTCACACTGCCAACTAGAGCAGTAAACAAGGTGAGATTTAAGATGTGCTTCCCTGGAGTCCTATTGGATTATGTCCAGATTATGTCCAGACAGGTTTTATAATCTGAAGAGTCACTTTCACAGGCATGTTTACTGTGACCACCTGAGATTCAAAAGGCTCTGGGGGTCACATGGAGGAGTGTCTACCGGTGTGATCTATTGGGAGAAAGCAGATAGAGACGACTATAAAAACAGTACTGGGATCTTCAACACAAGAACGTAGCATAGCAAGGCAGCAAGGTGAGTGCTGGCATCTGAAGCTTGGGCTTTTATTTTGTGGAAATCCAAACAGCGATAAAGTACTCAGCAACCTTCAGTTGTTGGAGATCATTTGGGGCTCTGGGCATGCAAATAAACTATACCCCCAACATTCAAACTCCACTGTGGAGCTGTCTATAATATGGGTTCTGAAACGGATGCCAGCTTAGCGTCCCGTAGAATCTACTCTATACCAACATTTTGCCTTGATGACTATGCACGCAATGGTGGACATGAAATTCTCTAGCATAGTTCCTGGTACAGTAATCTGACTCAAACGGAAGACAGGACAGACGTGTTTTGTAGTAAGAAACAGGGATAAGCCATATCTAGCTCATCAGGACCACCGTGTGTATATTAATAAGCCTACCTGTTACAAATAAAACTGAAATTCCCACATACTCCCTCACTTCCATTTCTCCTTGAATCCTGCCCATATCCATGAACTGCCTTTAGAAGCTTGTACTGTTTAGTTGTCAACGGAAACAGTCCAAGCAGGTGATGATAATTTGGGGGGGGGGGGTATGCTTCAGTACTTGATGTATTAAGAGGTTGTGATTTCACCAGGGGCTTGCTCTTCCTAGCCCATTTTCTGCCTCCACCAAAGTCTCTCGGTGCATCTGCCACTCATTTCCGCCTTCATAGTTGTACCCAATGCCTCTGTTAAGTGGTGATGGATGGATGGCCTGTAAGTGAAGCTCCTTATAGCTAGCTCTTCCGGCTAATCAGACACTGAACTTCTAAGTTCGAGGTTTACAGGCAATATCCACTCTCTTCCTCCTGAGGCCCTTCTGCTCTTTCTTAGCATCGAACTACCATCCAGGTGTAAGTGGACAAGGGTTACTTTATCATCCACCATGCAAAGTTCAAGTCCTAGCTGTCCAAAGAGAGAAGATGGTCCACCCGGGGAGGAAGTAGTGAGGGTGGGGAGGAGCCGGAGAGGGGCGGGGAGGGGCCGGAGAGGACGGGGAGGGGCCGGACGGGACAGGGAGGAGCCTAAGGGCAGGGAGGAGCCGGAGGGGGCGGGGAGGAGCCGAAGGGAGGGAATCTGCTAGGGGCCTCCGTTCAGGTGCATTCCAGCATGGCTTCGGCCTCCTCCGGACACGGAGCCGGCTTGTTGCGTTTTCTGCGGCTGGTCGGGCAGCTCAAGGTGAGCGAGCGGGCGCGGCCTGGCCGGCAGGCGGCGGTTTGAGCTCAGACTCCGTCCCCACGCAGCCTCCCCTCTCTCAGCCCCGCGGTGCTCGGCCTGGGTGTGCTGGGAAGGAGCTGGCGGGGACCAAGCTGAAGGCCGAGGCTGGACCCGGGACTTGTGCACGCTCCGGGCCCGGCGCCGCCCGTTCAGGGCCTGGCGCCCATTACCCGTGCAGCCGAGCCCTGCACACGAGCAGTGGAGACCTTCCCCTGTCGCAGGGACTTCCGGAAACGACCATTTCTGTAACACAGTTTCAGCGTGCATCAGCCTTCGCCTGTCAGAGCTTGGGCAGAGTCCCCTACGTTCCCAGATCACCGGTTCCCTGGAACCTGACTACTATTCGTGAGATTCTTTAGAAGCATAGAACTCCCAGGGAAAGTGCAGACTCGCATGATCACAACATGTTCCAAATAAAAGTCTTGACCGTGGCAGAAATTCCTGTATTCCTTCTGTGTCAGATCTGGGCAGTCTGTCACGTGTTTATGTACAAAACATGCTACCGTTTTCTTCTGTGAAATGGGCTTTTGGATAGTAAAATTCTACTGCTCTTGTAGGTAGAAAAAATAACAAAGCAACGCCCCGTGGTTTTCCTAATTACGAAGTACTTGTTTTGAGAAGAGGTTGGTAGCACAGCTGGCAGCCTGGAACTCGGGTCTCCACCTACTGAGTGCTGGGATCCCAGGTATGCAGCACCAGGCTTACCACCAGTTTTGCCTTTCTCTCTAAAACCAATTGTCCCGTCGTTACACTTCAGAAGCGCGGTGATGACTATTGAACTTTAGTATACGTGTGAATTGCATTTTGCTCACTCACTAGTTTGATTGATTTCAGATGTATGGCTCACTATGGTTAGTTTAAGCAAAGCATTTTTTGTTGTTTTTGTTTTTGTTTTTCTAGACAGGGTTTCTCTGTGTAGCTTTGAAGTCTGTCCTGGCACTTGCTCTGTAGACCAGACTGACCTCGAACTCACAGAGAACCGCCTGCCTCTGCCTCCCAAGTATTGAAATTAAAGGTGTTCGCCACCACTGCCCGGCCTTAAATAAAGCATTTTTTTAAAAAGAGGTTTGAAACCATGACTTGGTTGACTCTGTGGTCATCCCCGGACATTTTCTTAAAGAGCATCTTTTGGTTGTGTGGTCGTTCCTAGTGGTGGTATTTGTTTAATTCTTTATCTTCTTTATTAGAGAGTCCCTCGGACGGGCTGGGTGTACAGGAATGTGGAAAAGCCAGAGAGTGTGTCAGATCACATGTACCGCATGGCAGTTATGGCTATGGTGACCAGAGATGACCACCTTAACAAGGATCGGTGAGTTATGTGAGGGTCTCTGGACTCTGTGAGGACTGCTTCAGTTACAAACTGCAGTAGGTTTTCTGTTGAGAGAGTGTGCGCATTGGTGTCAGTGGAAATTAGTAAGAAATTAGGGCCTTGAAGGTGAGTATATGTAAAATTGTGTCTTTGCATTCATATTTATTTTGCTTTTGGACTAGCTGCTTTTATGAATAGTGGTAGCCGTTTGCAAGGTCATGCTATTGAGGTTGTAGGGCAACGACTACATAGATGCTCTAAAGAGGCACCCCTTTAGTTAGTCAGCAACCCTTTAAAGTGCTTGGGACCACAGGGCAAGAGTTTACATGAAGACAGCAAATGAATTGCCCAGCCTCTCTGTGGCTTCAATAAAAATCACAAAATAAGTTACAGGAGGGAATTAGCCGGTTATTCTAATAGTGGGGAGCTCTCCTGCTGTTGCTTGGTCTCTGCAGAGTTGAGTTCTTTCTAAAGAGCTGGCACAAGTCAAGAGTGTAGTAGAGGGCTACACACAGAGAAGCCACAATCAAAACCCTGGTGGGGAGCAAGCAAAGTACTTTGGAAGCACAGAAAACAGTCAAGCTGACTACAGCAAAGTGAGCCTGGAACCCTCGAGAGTCCTGTTGCTCTGCAGATGGTGTTTCCAGAATGTAGAGGAGTTTTGGCATTAAAAAAAAAATGACGTCAGTTTGAGATGAACTGTGTCTGACATTTGAACTGGACTAGAAAGAAACTGGAGGCTTCAAGGTCTTTGTGGATCAGCAGGACTGAAAAACCCGTCCCCTCCTGGGGCACCTACTTCATTGCTTGCCTCTGTCATTCTGATGGTTATTATCAGAGACTAATAATGGTAGCCGTGCGTTAAATGACTAGTATAGAACAAGAACATGATTTATGAAATATAATTTTTATATCTCCCCTATGAAGTATTCTTCCACACCCTTTCTCTGATGCTAGGCATCCAACTCAGGGCCTGGTGATTGGTAGACCGGTATTCTACAAGCTGTATCTCCCTGTTATCCATTTTACATGATAAAATGAAGGACAGAAAAAGGGAGCATTTAAGTTAAGTACGTAATCTGGTAAACTTCCTATAGCTAGTACGGTTGGTAGCCAAATTCAAAGTCCTATCTGTTCGACTTCACCCACTACCCTATATATAGATCCCTTTGGCATTAGACATTGGAGGAAATGCTCGATTCTAAATTTTTGTAAAACGTCTCCTGGCTTTGTGGTTTGAAATTAGGAACTTCTTAAAGTGAGAATTATGAAATCAACCATTAAAAAAATTCAGTCTGCTCTATACTCTCAAGTCTTGTGTTAAATATTCAAAAGCAATTTGATTCAGAACTAATGTGGGCTGGTAGGATATAATTACTTTAGAAAATATTGTATTAAATTAGTCTATGAGTGGGGAAGAAAGAAAAAACACATTATTGAGTTTAAAAATAGTATAGGAAAGAAACTTGTAGTAGATGTAATCTTGTATAATTACTCAACATTTCTTACCTGATCAGATGTATACGCCTAGCCCTGGTTCACGATATGGCAGAATGCATCGTTGGGGACATAGCACCAGCAGATAACATCCCCAAAGAAGAAAAGCATAGGCGAGAAGAGGTTGGTGCTGATCTGCAAAAGACCGTGAGGAAAATCTGTCACTGAAGTGAAGAGAATTCACTGTCCCTGTTGGAAAACGGGGAAGGTCGGAGAAGATGTTCTTGGAGTTTGAGGGCCAAGGTGTTGCCATGGAGCTCACCCTATGATCGACAACTAGCTGAGTCTGTACAGAGTGTGGGACTTAACAGCTTAGGTTTGGTGGCCGTAGTGAGGGGAGGTCTTCAAGAGAGCCTCTAAGTGTTACTCGTACCGTCTGTTTTCAGGAGGTAGCAGACTTCTCTAAGCAAGGACTTCTTGGCCCGCAAATTGATTTTAGCTTATTCTCAGCATTGTTTTCTATAAGAATAGGGCTACATCCCTGCTCTAGCCTGGTTTGACACAGGAACAAATCGTCATGATGGCTTCCATTCTTGTTGGCTTGGCTTTCATTAGGGTAGTACCAACAGCTGGGGCTTACGTCTGTTTGTGGAAATTCTCCCCACCCCACACACACACTTAAACTATTTGAAGAGAGATTCTCAAAATCACAAATATATTTAGTATTATAATTACTATTTAGTAATTTTTAAAATATACTTATTTATTTATTATGCATACAATAGTCTGTGTGTGCCTGAAGGCCAGAAGAGGGCACCAGACCTCATTGCAGATGGTTGTGAGCCACCATGTAGTTGCTAGGGATTGAACTTAGGACCTTTGGAAGAGCAGGCAATGCTCTTAACCGCTGAGCCATCTCTCCAGCCCCTATTTAGTAAATTTTAAGTTAGTCCTTTAGAGGCTAGAAATTTAAAAAGTAAAAGAAAACATTTTCATTCATAAAAATAAATGACATTGATGAGCTATTAAATGAAGGTCAGTGGTGAGCGCAGGGCTAAAAAGAAACTTTGTGGAGACAGAGACAGAAAAACCCATGAAGATGTCTCCCCTTGATCTCTTCCTCCTTCCTCCCTGTCCCTCGCTCTTTTGTCCTTTAAAGCTGAAGGAGTGGATTTCAGTACCACCATTACTGCAAACGACTTCTTGGAGGCCTTTGAGATTGGTTCTAAGTTATTTAGTGAGGACGCCTTTACTGACATGGTTTAATAGCGAAGGTAGGGTTAAGTAACTGTTTTCCGAGCTGATGGAGACTAGAGCTAAGTAGCCAATAGGGCGTTTGCTCATCTAGAAGCAAGAAGAGTCCATAAAGAAGTGGGGCTAATTTAGGTTCCAACCTACCCTAAAATATGGGCATCTTGGTATAGGGCTATGTCATCCATCCCTCTTCTTCCTAAAGAACAGGTCCAAAATACAGCCTGTTCATCATGACAGAAGGAAATATTTCTCCATGTAGGTCTAGACTGTTGTGAAAAAGAATTATTAAGTTGCTTGACAGAGTGCGCACAGACCGAAAGCAAGCTGCTGAAATTCTCAGCTGTTGAAGAATTGGTACTTTAGCCAGAGGATAACGGGTAATGAAGTGTCCCCTGGGTGAAGAGGATGAAGGAAAAAAAAAAAAACCCTCCTCATTTCTGAAGCTGGCTGGAGGATGTTGGTTCTATTTCCGCACGAGTATGGATATAGAGTGAAAAACGTGGCCTTAGACCGAGGAGCAGGTACGGGAAATGACAGAGAAGAGATATGCTGCCCCTCTGACCGTGCACGAGGATTTTCTCCATAGAAGAGCATGCCAGAAACTTCTGGAAAAGAACCACAGACACTGTCAAGGAACTGCAACCACAGAGGGAGAAACCTATAACTCTGTAGACCGGCTGGGTTCTGATTCCTGTCACCCTGAGGCGGGATCACAAGGTCCTGCTGTCTTCTTTCCTGCTACATTCTGGTTAGGAAAAAAAGCGTTTCTGGCCCCAGCTGTTTTTGCTGCTGCCCACTCCTGCTGATTTGGAAGAATAAATGTCAGAGGCAGAAGGACCAGGGAAACATCTTCAGGAACGTCAAGTTCTTGGCCGAGAAACCCGGGGCCTGGAGAGATCTGGTGCGCCATTACATCTTCCTGCTGCCGATCTGAGTTTGGGCACGGGAAAATTCCTTATATAGATGGTGTTTATGAACATGATTCAGCTCTCTGAGCCATGCATTAAGATAATTAAATGAAGGCTTCTTGGCCTCAGGAGAAACATGCATAATGTGAACCAGAGGAATCATTTGCCTAGACATTTCTTGACTGGCTGGCTAGGATTTAAGTTGAAGCGGGAGTGGGAGGTGGAGGGTACAACTTGGTGTACTGAAGAATGACTGTTATAGAGGATATTCAATATTAAGATGAAAGGCAGAATGCAGGCAGAGAAGACGGAACTCGGAAAGGGGGCCAAAAGCAACGCTTGTGTCTAACCCCTTCCTCCACCATGATAACATGAACCTTTTATTATAACCCAGGCTCGCCAGTGTTGCCTTAACATGATGCCTCAGGCATCATGAGGATTAAGGGGCTGGATTTAGATGCTAATATAGCAGTGGCCAACTATATGCTCTTTTGCAGAGAGAGACGCTTCTTGAAATAGATTGCAGAGTCATTCTATTCCCGTATCTGTGGGGGACAAAGTGGCTAATGAACTGGGAGAAAGGAAAGTAGGCCTTCCTTCTTTATGGGAGTCTTTGGAAGGTCAAGAAAATGAAAACTCAAAGCGACTATGTATTGAGGACTCATATGCTGACTTATAAGGACTGTGTGTGCCCATGTTCTGACCATGCAACCCTCTTAGGAAGGACCACCTTGCAAATGAGGAAACTACAAGACAAAAGGTCTAAGTGACCGCGTCCAGGATCTTCAGCTAGTGAATGACAAGCCAAGGTTTAAGACCAGTCTGAATCTAGAATCTGAGTGAGCCACCACACCACTCAGCCGTGTCAGGGTTGGAAGGACATGCTTTGCAGGTGCAGTACAGAAGTGAGGTCTTGGCCCATAACGAGGAGCTTCAGTGAGGTTAATAGTATTTTTTTAAGGTGGGCATGATTCTGTGATATAAGCCGTCAAACAAGGAATATTAACTGAGAGCTCTCAAAAATGTAATTCTCAGCTAGTGTTACTATGAGGGTCTTGTTTAAGCAGCCAAATCTCACAAACCCTCACCTCTACAGGAAGAGCTATAGGCAATTAATAGCTGCTAGGGACAGGATCAGTCTTCTCCAGGGACAAGATCCCTGCTAGGTGGCCCAATCCCAACACTCAGCTCTAAAACACATACACACGAGCAACATTAGACGGACTCATCAGGCTGTATTTATAAATATGTATGTGTACACCCATAATAATAATTTGAGAGGGAGTAGGGGAACACCAGCAGTGTTGGGAGGGGGATGCAGAGGGTTAGAAGTGTTATGGTACTTATGAATGAAATTTTCAAAACATGGTAAAAAGAAAAGTACAATTCCCATTGTATAATAAGTTATATTGATATGCCTAGATATCGGCGAATCAATCCCACACCAGTTATGTTTTAAGGGGTTATTTATTTTGGGGGGTAAAACTTACATACACCATAAACCGTCAGGAAGGGAGCCTAGTCGCAGGAGCTGGGAGCAGGAGCCAGGAGCAAGCACCGGAACCAAGAGCAGGAACCAAGAGGGCCTGATCCGGATATGCTTCTCTTTTTAAAAGAGAAATATACCACGCCCCAGTGGGCTGGTATTTCAGCAGCTATTGGCTGACGGAGCGGAAGTCGCTCCCCGCTGCACTGTGGGCTCGTATTTCAGCGACTATTGGTTGAGGCAGTGGAAGTTACTCCCACAACACCTAGATCCAGAAAATCCTCAATTTTAAGAGGAAAACAGCATATTTGTTGTGGTTTGTTTTTCAAAGAACACGGTAATTTTGAAGAAGGTTTTTAATTAGTTAGTATTAAGATCTCCAAAAAACTAATTCAGTTCTGGGAGGCATTTTGTTCGGCCACGTTCAGTGCTGGGCCAATCAGCTAAGAAGAGGCAGCAAAATAACTCCTATTCAAAGCAAAGTGTTTAAGCAGGTCCTCCAAGAAGAGTGGACTTCCATATGCAAGCTGGATACAAATGTTTTTGGAGGAAAAATTAAGCAAGAAATAAATGTATTTCTGGAATAGTATAGTCAAAAGTGATCTGTGTATGGAGACCATTTACAAAAATGTGTGTTCTCCAGTACATTGCTGAGATTTACAATAAAGGAACAAGAAGTGCAAGTGTAAAATCCATTTTGTGCTTCTCCGTGGTGTGACACTCCAGCTGTGTGACTGAGCGGCCTCCCTGGGTGGCCGTGCCACTTGTGAGAGCGTATTACTAGTGCTGGCATATGCTGCTTGCTGTAGACATGGATGTATGCTACACCATATAAATATCCACACAAATACCCATTTTCTTTTCATCGCTTTTCTCCAGCTCATTTTATTTTATATAAGACATTGCTGTTACTGAAGTTGATGCTTATAGCTCACTCTTTTCAAAGAGTTTGGCCTCTGGTTAACACCGGAGTAGAGTAGAGTCAGGGCTAAACAGGATGAGATAGTGAAGGTGTCGAAGGCTATTGGGAAGTTAATTGACCTTAAAAATGTGCTGTTTGGAAGAATACTAGGATGATTGAAGCCAAGGGAGAAACTGAGGACACCACGGGATACTTAGAAGTGTTTACAGAGGACACCTCTTATTCTCTCATTCTCCTCTCTCTAGATTTTGGATAGCTCTCAGGCTTTTTGTGGTAACAAAGGCGTCTTTAGACTGCTGGATACATTGTGGAAAGACTCAGTATAACCAGGCATGAACTGCAAGGACATCCCCTCAAATGGTTGCTGGGGACACGTCACTCTGACCCCACTGGTCATTGTCCTGCTGTTTGACACTCTGTGTACAATCAGAGGATAGGACAGTGCCTTCATCTGGGCAGGCTCTTGAGGTTATAAGGAGGTCTGTGTTCAGCAGTGTACCTCAAAAACTGGGAATCTGTGTACCTCAAAAACTGGGACTTCTGTTATGTCAATGACAATGGCTGACTTTTTATGTGATGCTTAAGTTTTTGCAATAATGAAAATAACAGAAAATGAATATAGTACTTAAAAAAAAAACCCTGGAACCTGTGAAGTCCTGCTTATTCTACTGGGGTTATTTTAAGGAATCTGAGTCCCTGCTTGGCTTTTGTAGGCTAGATATTGACTGAGATGAAGGCGAATGTAATGGAATTAATGGCTTCATATTTCAGGAGGCTATGAAGCAGATCACCCAGCTGCTGCCAGAGGACCTCAGGAAGGAACTCTATGAACTCTGGGAAGTGAGTATACGTACTAGACTGTTTTTTTTTTTTTTTTACTGTTACTGAATTTATATATCTGTGCTTTAGTTGCAAAGGTTATGCTAACGGTCTCTATACTGTAGTTTTGTCCCCCAGCTGCTACAGAAATCTCTCTGTGCTGACAGAAACTTTTCTTTGTCTTTGTTCCTCCTCTTCTTACCTCCCTAGCACCTGCCGCGGCCCTTGGCGCACAGTGCTTGTATTTCCGACTGCTTTGTTCACAGCCATGAACCCACACCTAATTCTTTTCTGTGTTCGCATTCATGTTCACATCTTGTTCCTCTGTGTGTAGGCGCACGTGTGTATGTGTGAGTGGGGAGGCCAGAGGTCAGCGTCAGCCGTCATTCCTTAGGTGTCCTCCACCTTGTTTTTGGGACAGGGTCTCCAACGGCCTCTGAACTCCAGGGATTCACATGACCCCCTCCTGCATCCACCCTGGGGTTACAAGCATATGCTACCTGGCTAACTTTTTCACGTGGTTTTAGAGTTGTATTTAGGTCCTCTTGCCTGCAAGGAAAACCGAGTAAGCCATCTACCCAGCCCCCATTTCTGATTCTTAAAATGTGAATGACACTCTTAAAACAAGGCAAATGCCATCTGAGGGATGACAGCCGAAGTCGTCCTCTGGACCCGTGGCTTTGGGATAGTTCAGAACTGAGATTTAATCGCACCGTACCGAGTTGTAGATCTGAGACCTTGAATACTGTTCTTTTATTGAGTCTGTTGCCCATCCATAAAAGAACAAAGTAAAGCCGGGTGGTGGTAGCGATGCCTTTGATCCCAACACTTGGGAGGCAGAGTCTACAAAGCAAGTTCCAGGACAGCCAGAGCTGGTATACAAAGAAACCCTGTCTTGAAGTGAGAAAAAAGAGCAGAGTGAAATCAAGGTGAAAGGCGTAGGCTGGGCTCACCCAAGGGCTCACGAGGCTGAAAAGAAAGGGCAGGGAGGGTGAAAAAGCAGGACTGAATGTTTTCTGTCATTCTTTCTGTTTTCCACTGGTTCTCCTGTCCAGAGCACAATGCCTCTCCTTGATGGAGCCCCTCAGCCTGCCCTCTTTCCTGCTTTTGGATAGCCCTTTCTTCATCCTTCCCAATGCCCTCTGTCAGTTCTCCCATACTGTCCAATCCTCCTCATTCCCACCCAATCCCTCTCCGACACCTCTGCCCTCAGAATCACATTCCCTTATCCGGGCTCCTACCCTTCTCTGCCTTTCCTGAAGATATCTTCCCACTACCTCCTATGCTGAGTCAAATTGTCACTTGGGAGGAAAATGGGACGTGTCTAGGACTGGACCCTTGAACTTTCCCTAGACACCCATGGTCTGCAGCATCAGACTTGGTAGTGCCCTGTCCTTGCAGTAGTTTGACTCAAGCATGGGGTGAAGTAAGTCTTTCCAGGCAGTGGGGTGTAGCACAGGGACCAGAGCCTTGAGCCTGAACACCCACAGGTAAGCTACTTCATTCTAGTTAGTCTGTCTGCCTTCTTGGAAACGAGAGTCCTACAAGTCTACCTGCTCATCCACAACTAAGAAGCTCGACGGGCCTAGAAAGCTAGGTTTTAAAATCCCTAGTCTGATCTCAGTTTATTTATAAGCAGAATTGAACCTCAGCTAGCATGGGCTTTTTGAGTCATCGTTCATCCCTTACCGTGTGAAAGTTAATTGCTTTAGCAGATAAATAGGTTTGATTTCTGTGTGCCGCCTTAGGCTCCCTACTAGAGGCAGTTTATCCGTATGCACTCCATGTGTTAGTGTTCTGAAATAAGGAATTGCTGGAGTCTGCTGAGACACCGTGGACCTTTAGTAATTACCTCGTGAGGAGAATTCAGTCGGGGATGGTGTAATGGAGTCCCGCCTGGAGCTACTGCAGAAGGTGTCCATTACAGTATGCCAGGGTTTCTTCGGGGAATCATGGTCCATGCCTCAGCATATACAGCATTAGAAGCGTGCTCCGTTAGGTCGGGTAGCAGAGTAAGGCTGCGCATCATCCATGCAGAGAAAGAGAAGAGGCGAGGCGTGAGTTTTTGAAGTGAATTCCATTATCTCTTAAGGACAAAGCATTCCCAGAATTTGGGAAGCTTCATAAGAATCTGCCCGCCTTTGCCTCTTTTTGTTCTAAACGCAGTGGCAGCATCTATAGAATTCTTTTCGTAGTCACCAGCAACGCACTGAAAATTTTACCGCAAATTCTACAGGTTTAAAAATCATATCTTCCAAGTCAAGTATTGCCGTTATTTAGAATTTTTGACTTGAAGAGTTGTAAAACACTTGGTAACTCCCAAATAGGTAATGGTTCTTCCATCCTGACTGGATGAGCTTATCAAAGAATACCGGTGTCCTTGGCATTCCCTGCCCATTCCGGTCCCACCCACCAGCGGTGTGGTGACATCCCTATTTGTCTGTATCTCTGTCCCAGCTTCCTGGATTGGGGCTACATTACAACTCAGTCACTTCTGCAGAGACCCTGTTTCTATATAAGCCACAGTCATAGGTCACATTTAAGATCCCAGGCAGACAGGGATTTTTCAACACAATAGGAGACATAGTAGTTGATGCCTAGCCCATGATCATTTATGGACTCTGGTATCCTGCTGCTTGTCCACATGCGTGTTCTCTTAGTTATTATCTATGTGACTTAGGGCAATCTAATTTCTCCATGCCTGTACTTCTTCATCTGCGATGTGGAAGTATATAGACATGGGAATTAAAGTAACTAGTATAAAACACTTAGAACATTTGTGAGTTCTCGCCCCTGTCTCTAATCCATACATTCTATCTTGTCTGCCTTCAGTCCTGATGTTGGTTTAGGAAGTTGGTACCTAGAATAGAGCTTAGGGCAATACTAGCTGCAAAGAAAATACCAGTAGGCTGGTACTGAAGCGTGGTCACCACAGCTGTTCAGCATTATAAACACCTGCCAGTCCAGAGGCTTAAGGGGTTACACATTCTGGATTATAATCTGTCTTCCACCATAAAGATGAAATTATGTTTCAGTAGACCAGCAGGAAGTGTGTTTATTTTGCTCGCGTCTGAAAGCACCAGAGGCAGCTGTGGTTGTGGCTGTGCTGTGTTGTGAGAACATCACAGGCTGTCTACCTGCCACCTGCACTGCATTTTAGAGAATGACCTTGGAGCCCCAAAGCGCACGTGGGTCCAGCGTGCCAGACTAAATGCCTAACCAACTGCCCATCCGGGCTTTCTCTTCTGCCTGAAATTTTCTCTCAGTACTGTTGGGTGTCAGTCAGTTGGAAACGCAGTTGGGTTAACATGTTCCGTTTTTACAAATGACTTCTCATCTATCCTCTGAATAGAGGAGAACAATGTCAGGCTCCTGGGAGTCAGAAGCAAAAACCACCCGGAAGTCAGAGAAAGGAAGGTATGGAAGGCAGACTCACAGATGGATCCTCCCTCGGAGCCAGCATTGCAGACTTTCCTCCCTTTCTCCTCTACTTTCAGGACCTAGGGCTGCCTTCTAGTCCTGCTGCTTAGGAAACCCTAGCCTGAGTCACTGGGTGATTTGCCTTTTCCAGTCCACCTGCAGGTGGCAGAGTGCTGTGTGGGATCCTCTCTCACTTAGTGCCACATTCCTGAAGAGGCTCAGGCACCTCCCTCTCTGTCTCTGAGTGTCCATTGCTCCCTTCAACCACCTGCCTTGCTACCTCTCTCTCCATTTTATAGTGGATCGTCTCTTCTGTTCTTGTTTGTTTTTAATTAGGGAAGTAGAGGCTGCATAGATGTGAATTTTTTTTAGCTCTGTATGAGTTTGTAGGTCTATGTCTGTGTAACATTTTTTTGAAGCAGATCTCCCCGCTTGCCACATTTTTCTACTTCCCTTCATGGCTAAGCAGGTAATGACTTGCCCACACTCCCCAACTCTGTTCTTTGACGTTCGCTGCAATGTGACTGCTAGTCTCACCTCTCATTGCTATGCTGAAATCCCATGCGGCTTCTGTGTGGCTTACCCAGCAAGTCCTCTTTTGCCTCTGTGCCATCTGGCACTTGGTGACATGCGGCTCATCCCTCGAGTTTCTGGTATATTCTTTCTTGGTTGTCTTTCATCCTTCCATTTATGTGTGTGTGTGTGTATGTGTGTGTGTGTGTGTGTGTGTTTGTGTGTGTGTGTGTGTGTGTGTGTGTGTGTGTATGTGTTATAGGGGTGTGTGTATACCTGTCAGTACATCTGCAGAAGCCACAGGAGGATGCCATGTGTCCTGCTTTATTGCGCTCCACCTTATTTCCTTGAGACAGGGTCTCTTCCTGACCTGGAGCTACCCTGGCAGCCAGCAGGCCCCAGACTTCCTCCTGTCTCCATCCTGCATCAGCACAGCGATTACAGACGTGATAGATTCAGCTGCAGCCGTAATAGGCTTTTTATGTAAGATCTTCAGGGTTCAAGTTCAGATCCTACTATTGGAGCGGGAACACTCTTATCCTTGAGTCATCTCCCAGCCTCTCGGTCCTCCTGGTTCTCTCTGTACTTTTCTGGAAGTTTCTTTGGAGTTTCTGCAAATGTTCCTTCTAGCTCGTCTTCAGATCCTGTGCACTAGGTGCATACACTACGTGCATGGACGCCTTTCCTCTCCGCAGCCCTGTAGGGCTTCACTCTTCACCTCTGACTTCTCCCTGTCGCCTCGGGAGCAGTCTCTCTCTAAAGCACTATACTCAAGAGCCTAAAATCCAGGCCCCCACATAGTCACAGAACCCCCCGCTTCTAAAGTCCATGACCATGCTCACTATTATTCTTTTCCCTTTTCAAATAAAATGTTTTTATGTATGAAAAACAAAGCCTTGAAAAACCAATGGATAGCACAGTTAGTTGCTACAAGGGTAACATCCCTATAACTTCCACCCAGATCCATATGTAGAACTTGGTCCTTCGCCCCAGAAACCTGTGTCTGTGTCTCATCCAAACGACATATCTTCTCTGCACACCACTCCTGCCTGCTGTAGTAACCACCACCCTCATTTTCATAGAAATTG